ATATATATAATAAAATATATTATAAAATGTATAATATTATATATAATATAATGTATATATATCATAGAATAATATATATATATAATATAAACATATAATATAATAATAATTAAAATATATATATATAATATATATATATAAAATATATATATATAAATGTATAATATATATATATAATATATGTATATATATCATAGAATATATAATATAATATAAACATATAATATAATAATAATTAAAATTAAATGTGTGCAATATATTAATAATATATAAATATTATATTAATATTGCGTTATACCACAGGAAGACTAATCGAGAATGAGGATATGCGTTACTTTGGCAGAAAAAAAAAGAGCGCAAAGTCGACGAAAAAAAAAAAAAGAAAAAGAGAACTCGGAGTTCTCCCCGATCAGGCGGCGCCGCTTAAACAGCTGTTCGGCGGCAACAGAGAACTAGTCGCTAAAATACTTACAGCCGAGAGCTTTTGAGGTTAGGTCCGACAGCGTGGAAAGATTCGCGGAACGGGCCGCGGGCTTCGCACGAAAACGCACTGCACTATTTCTCGCGGTGTCTCCGGGCACATTTCGGAGCAATTATTTCCGCGGAAAGGAGCGACATAAAACGCGCGCGGGTTCACGTTCACGTTCACGAAACGACACGACACGACACGGCGCACACGTAAACAACGCGCGACGCGACTCGACACGCGGCTAACTTCCGACCGTTCGATCTCGACTGACGCGACGCGAGCGTGGTTGAAACTAACCTTCAAATAAAAACCTCTTGGCGGAGAGCGAAGGAAAATTATTATTAAATTTAATTTAATTTTGGAAAAATTAAATTCAGTTTGAAAATTATCTTTTTTTTTTTTTTTTTTTTTTGACGTTGCGTACCTTCTCGATGTATCTTTCTCTCTCGACCTTTTGCCCCGAAAAACATATTGAGGATAGAAGAGAGAAGAGAGAAAAAACTCGAAATAGATAATTATAAATATAAATGTTTCTCTTTTATGTCACCACGTTTCACAGATTTAATATATACGCTCCGAGATTGCGGACGTGCGTGAAAGAAGAAGCCGGAGAGAGGGAGGGGGGGATCACCTGACGGCGCCGAGCTGTCACTTTGCGCGCGAACGACGCGACGTTGGCACCTCTATGAAGTTGGCAATTTTCAACAAAAAAAAAAAACCAAAAATTGTTAAACGCGCGAAATTAACCTCCCTTTTTCTCGCGAGAAAAACGATCGGCAATGATAATAATGATGATGATGATGATGATGATGATGATGATGATGATGATGATGATGATGATGATACTAATGATCGATGACGAAACCCGGGGATGACACGTGGACAATTGCAAATAAAATCTCGAGCAATCTTCGCGAATGGGGCAGCTTTCGCGCCAAAAACGCTCGGTTTTGACAGCTGTCATCCCGCGAAAATTTCTCGACTTTTCCACGCGACACCCCGCCCTATTCGCACGCGCCGAGGAAAATCGAGGGGGCCCGCGGACCCCGTCCTTCAAGGACGATCACGAGGCGCCCGTCGTCGTCGACGCCGGCGCTGCCGCCGGACGGAGGGAGGAGACGGGCGAAAGCAGAATGAGGCGACGGAGGATATACGCGAAGATGGTGCAAAAGAGAGAGAGACAGAGACAGCTACCGGCTGACACCCCCGCGACAGCGTCGCAATGAACTCGCCCGGTGGGTACGAAGGGTCAAAAGCACCGCGGCAAAATAATAACAGAAGCCGCCGACGCCGCTGTCGTCGCCATCGGCTGTCACCGAGTCGCTGCCGCCGACGTTCCTCTCTCTCTCTCTCTCTCACTCCCCACCACTATACATTTTCTCCAGCGGCCGGCTTCGACGAAATAAAATCGTCCCCGAGTCGAATGGAAGGGAGAGGGCACCAGCTGGTGCCCCTGACGTAATAATTGTTATTGTTTTCGTTTTACTCACAGGATTCTCGCGGAAGACGACGACGACGCTGCTCCACGTCGCTGTTGATCTCCGTCCCACGGGTTAGGTTCCTGACGGTGCTGCTGCTGGTGGCGGTGGTTGTTCGCGGCCGCGGGTTTTTGGCGGGTTTTTCCACGGGCGACGAGCGCGCACACCACTGGCACACACACACACCGCGGCCGCCGTGCATTCACCTCGTCCTCGCAGCCGTCGCCGCCACCGACACCGCCGACACGCACCGCCGACGAGCGCTGCTCCTTCTCGCCAGCTCGCGTCGCGATCGGGAGCCCCCGGGAGATCCTCCTCCCCGGGGAAGCTCGGCCGAGTCGAGGTCGTTGGCGCCTCCGCTGTTGTTGACGATGACGACGACGTTGATGGTGGTGATGATGATGATGATGATGATGTTGATGATGGTGGTGGTGGTGATGATGATGATGATGATGATGATAGGAATACCACTACCGCTGCTGCTGTTGCTGTGCCGCCACGCCACACTGAGACACACGAGACGAGGTCGTTCGACGCACCACTGTTTCCCGGACGCGCGCGAATGAGCGACGATCGCGATTGGGAGCCGGACGATCTCCCTCGGACGAGGCGTAACGCGCGACGTTCTCGCAGCACACACGAGAATCGTGGAACGTCCTAACCGCGGTGACACCGCATCGCTTTCACGGGCGAACATGGAGCTGGATCCATGCCGAATGTTTCGGGAATCGCCCGCGAGGCGGCGCACCAGGGCGCGCCACCGTCCCTTCTGTATAGCGGACGGATGGAGAGAGAAAGAGAGAGAGAGAGAGGGAGCGATCCTGTCCTCCGTGTATATATATATATCTATCCGGCACGGCCTTCCGTGTATATTCGCGAGTGTGTATCGGCGCCGTCGTCGCGCGGCTTCGCCGCCCGCAGGTCTGCCAACGCGATATCGCGCCGCTTGACAACAGCGAGTGCGCGCGACTCCCGCGAGATGGCGCCGAAGCGCCGCGCGTGCGCGCCACGCGCCGCGCAGGGACGGATTCGGCCGGCGCGTCGCCCCGTACGCGACGACGGGACTAGGAGGGGATCTCGAATCGATATGTCCGGAGAATTTTCGAGCCTTGTTGTCGTCACGATCTATCGAACGTGTCTATCGAGATGTCGGATTTTTGAATTTCTCGTAATTGTAGACGTAGTGATGAATTATAAAATTTTGACGTTTTTTTTTTTTTTTTTTTTTGTTATATATTCTATAGACAAATATCGATTAATAATTGTATTGGCTTCCTATTCGCGGATTTATATATAGGTATTTAATGCGATAATGGAGGGATATTTAATTTATGTAAATAATATATTGCGAATAAAATTAGTTATTCACATAAAAGTGAATTTTACGAGAAATAAACCTTTGATTATATGTATATTAAAAAATCAGCATGGATTCGATATGTAATATTAGAGATTACATCTTAAAAATTCTTGAATTTTCTTCTGATATACATATATATCTTCCCAAGATCTCCTGAAATCATTAAGCAAATTTTAATAATAAAAAAATAATAAAATAAAATATAAAAATTACATTTTGAAGCAAGATTGACACAAAAGAATTATTTGCAAGTAAAATCTTTAATCGATAAGGATATAGTTCATAGAAAGCGCGTTAATAAATTACAACAAAAATTGCTCACTGGAATAATTAATTAACGATTGCGTGTCTAAAAATTTTTTAAAATTTAAGTGCAATTAATTTTGCGATTTGCATTAAGGATTATTATATATTATATGCTAAATTTAAAAGTAAGAAGTTATTTCTTTCAAGATACGCACAATTAAATAATCATTGAATTGTGAAAATGGTTTTTATTTTATACATACATACACACACACACATATATATATATATATATATATATATATATATATATATGATATACAAATATACAGACTATAATAATAATATTATACTAATCTATGCATTTCCGTTTGCGCATTTCACTATATTTAGATAATCGGCAGGTATATATATATAATTCATATATATTTAATGAATATATAAATACATCATAATAAGTATATAAACATAAATATAAATATAAATGAATAAAATATATATGTAAGCTACATGTTATATAAAAATATAATTAAACTGATATACATATATATATTTATAGATACATGTAAATTAACGGAAAAATTACAAATCCGTAATTATATATTATATATATATAAAATATATATGATTATCTTTTAAAAATAAATGACTGCTAGCTCTTAATAATTAACTTCTTTAAAGTCTTAAAGGCACATATAATTATAAAAATAAGGGAAGAAGTAGATATAGAGCCTCTCACCTGTGAAATAATTAATCATTAATCATTAAAATCAGTTATTAAATTAAAAAACTTTATGCGTGCACACATTTTTGTAAAAAAAAAAAAAAACATTTACAAATATAAAATATCAGAGTGAAAATATAATAGTTATTAATATTTTACTCATTTAATCAATAGATTTTATCAAATTAAATAGAATTTATGCAGTTATGGAAATAATTCTATATCTCAATATTAGTTATTTATTGTAAAGTAAAAACAATACAATAAAAAATATGTGCGCTATTAAATAATCAAATTATTAACAAGTGCACAACGTATGACAAGTAAATATAATGATGGCACTTAATAAAATGTTTTCCTTTTAAGAAAATAATATATAATGCATATAACAAAAAATATATCCAGTATATGAATATTAAATTCATAAAAATGAAAAATCATGAATAATTTGTTAGATAATAGTTTCGAACAAAATTGTACAAACTGCACAACATGATGTAATACTTGGACAGTATAGTACTCGTGCAACATATATATCAAATTAGTTCATAATAATAGTCTTACAATTAATAAAGTTCAATTTAAAAATAAATTTGCATTATTTAAAACACTTCTAAAGAGAACAGATCAATCCAATTTTTAATGCTAATGGTTTATGATTTAAAAAAACAATAATTCTATAATAAGATTTTCATTAAAAAAAAAAAAAATTGGTGACACTTATTCGCAAATTTCACAACACATTCATAATCTTTATTATTTCTATTGTCACTCTTCTTTACATTGGCATATGTCATGTTTCCTGTGTATGTGTTTATAAGTGTTGTATTATTCTATTGAATATATGTAATCTCTTAATTAAATTATTGTATTATCGCCAGTTTTGCACATATAAATATACAATAAAAATGACAATAATCGAACAGTATTTATCACTGCGCAATATAGGATATTATAATATTATGGTACATGTGTTGCGAGAGAGATTAATATTGTACAAGATGTAATATTATTCTAATTGTAACAATGTTTGTAACGTAAAAAAAAGATGACCATGTAATGTTTTTTTCCAAACACTGTTCTCCATTAGTTTTCCACAATCCTTTGACGGTTAAATACACTTACACAGAAATATTTGAGCATATATTTTTACAGTTCTCTTTTGAACATTCTACTCTGAATTCATGCTTAAACATTGATCTTCCTTTACTTTTTTTATATCAAATAAGTTCCATGAATATAGCATCACAGAACAGATTTACGTAATATTATGCCTCGCAGCTTTCAATATATATATATATATGCATATTGTTAACATAAGTCATCGAAGCTGTTTATACATCACTGCTACAGTGTAATGAATAGTCTTAAAACTTGCCCCGAAAGTTTCGATACGGTTTTCCACCCGGATGCTTTCCTCTCACAGCGTGACTTTTGCCTCTCAAGACTCTTCCGTGCCAATCGTGTTCTCTTTGAAATGTGTGGCCATCCTCCAACTCATCGTCGGACTCTTCCAATTCCATCGGGCTCTCCCCACGACTGTGATTGCTCCTTCTGTCGTGGAAATCGTCGCGCTCCATAGAACGCCTGTGATAATCCGGTGAATATCTATGACTGCCATAATGATCGCGCGCACTGTGAGCGGCACTAAAATCATCTCTACTCCTAACAGGAGGTGATTCTAATCTCACGCTTCTAGATCCATGGTCCATGAGATCGGCATGATGCTCGTGCTCGTGCTCGGATCTTCTGGAGGGAGACGGCTGCCTGTTCCAGGAGCGTCTCTGCGACGAGTTATTCAGACTCAATCTGAGATCCTCGACTTCGCGAAACCTGGGAGAATAATCGTACGTCTCCCGTACGTTCCAATCAAGACGATCCATGATGGGTCGCCTCTCCTCCCTCGGGGGCTGAAAATCTTCCGAACAGACCTGCGACTCGAAGTCAACCATAACGACGGACGCCTGCACGGCCTTCGTTTCCAGTTCCACCTCGTCCGTTTGACAGATCTTCTGATGCGTCTGAGTCGTCGTCTTCGGGATCGGTGTCTGCTGCTCCACGTTGCTGCTCTCCTCCCAGAATATCTTGGTCTTGCCTTTCTGAAGAAGTATCGAGTTCGACGTGTGATCCTCGGTCTCGTTCTTCGCATGCGGGTCTTCCTCTGTGCGATCGTAGAAGAATCTGCCCTTCATCTTCAAACGTGGATCCTCAAATGGCAGCTGGCACAGCGCTTGTTCGCAGTGCCGCATTATTTCAGGCTTGAATCCTATTGATGAAAAAGAAAACAAACTCACGTAGAATCAACGTCCGAATTATGTGTAAAGATAAACGCTGTAAGTTTCATGCTTCTTGCAAATCTTCGCGCACATCGTTTGCAAAATCATAGAATGGGGCACACACTTCGATTACGTTAGACATACCGCGCAACTTTCGTCACGTACACGATTATAAGACACTTAAGTAAAAAATGTTTCTTACCTGGGTATAGCACCGGTATATTAGATGGATCTAGAGCACGTGAAAAAAAGAATTAATCGTTATTTAACAAGTAGAATCTACACGTAATCGATTATGAAAAGTATATACAAAGTATTTCTAGGAATCTTTACAATTAAATGCATAGCAAGTAAAGACAATCGCACCTTTGGCTGAAACAGACGCTTCCAGCAGACTGGATAAGCTGGTTTTTTCAAATTGCTGTAAAATCAAGTCATAAAACAATATTAATCTATTTTCCGTATCCATATAATTGAAGTAAGTGTAACGCTGTATAAATCAAATAAATGAATATCAATGTTTCTCGACGTAGCGATAAGACGCTTCTCGTCGAATTGAAATCAAAATCGAAATATTTCACCACGATTATACGTATGGAAATTACTTTTGGTTTGGAGATGACCGGCGGTTCGGGCGTTTTCATTCGTTCCTCGCGCGGAGGACGAAATTCGGAGTACGTCGTCGCCGAGCCACGCGACGATTCCGTATAATTCTGCGCCGAAGTGGAGGAGGATGACGCGGTTGCGGGATGATTCGAAGGTTTGCTCGTGGATTCGAACTGACGAGGCGGCGATCGTCGAACGGAAGAGGACATCGGACGCGACTGACTGTAGGATATCTGGGTGTGATCCATCACCGGTGCTGGAACAGGTTGCGGCGAGGGTACCGGTGTGGGGAGCAAACCCGGAGGACAGATCGGCGATGGCGGGATGACTGGGGTCTGGATAGGAGACGGGATGACGTTCGGCTGGTTGTACATGACCGGCCCGGAGGAATATTCGACCGGTGGCAAATTGTGCGGCAGCATGGGATCGAAATTCATCGGCGGCATCGGCTCGAAGTTCATGAACGGCGGTCCGCTTGGCATAGGTAGCATGGACGACGGCGGCGGCGGGAGAAGTCCCGGTTGATGCAGGTACGTCGAAGATGGTACGGATGGTGGAGGTGGCGGCGGCGGCGGCGGCGGCGGCGGCTGCGACGGCGGCGGCGGCGGTCGAGGTTCCGCTTCCGGTTGGTAGGCAGCTGGTGGATTCAGGAGCGGCGCGATCTCTTCCATTGTCGCGGGCGGCGCGTATCCACCGCTGTTGACGCCGGGCTTCATCGCTTCGTTCCTGAGCTGCCGCGCCAGCTCGTTGATGAAGGGCGAGCGCTTCCTCGCGCGCTTCTCCACCGATCTGCTGCGCGAACGCGTGCGACTTCGCCGACTGTATCGTCGACTCACTGGCGACCGGCTCGAGCGTCTTCTCGGACGTTCCGTGCTGCGGCTCCTCCGATCGCGAGATCGACTTCTCCGGCTTAACAATTTAAAGCAGTTACAGTTGCGATGTGTTAAAACAATCACTAATTACTATCTCTATTACATTTTCAATAGCTATCTGTATATAAGTATAAATACTTAAATATATATTTATATATAAATCTATATTTAAATATAAATATAAATATATATATATATATATATATATATATATAATATATATATTTTATAATATAATAATAATTTATATATAATTATATATATATACATTACAATAAGAATATAGAATTTTTAATGCAAAATGCATAAAAATTAAAACTAGTACATAAATATTAGTGGAACATATTTGTACAAAATAATTTGCACAAAATAATTTTTATAATACACACGCACATACACACACACACACATTTGGAAACACAGTATATAAAGAGAAAAGACAATTCTTTTTAAATGATTAGTAAATTTTTCTAAGCCTCTTTCTGGAATCAGAAAGAGTTCAGCGATCACAAAATTGGTTTTAACAAAAATTAAAAATGCTTTTCCTCACCGTTCTATCCACTCGCCGCGTCTTCTTCGCGATCGTTCAGTGCTCCACCTTCTCTCCACGCTGGAGCGTCTAGGACTCCTTCGACGATCCGGACTTAACATGACGGGACTTCTTCGGTCGGGAAAATAGCGCGGTGAATTCTTTCGTCTGCTCGGACTGTATCGGGGAGGACTTCTGTGCCTCTCCGCGCTGATCTTGAACGGACTCCTACGATGCTCCGGAGTCACGTAAGGACTTCTTCGTCGATGGGGACTCGACCGAAGTCTGTCGGGTGTTCTGCGTCGTGCCGGACTCGGTCTGTCATAACGCTCGAACGACTTGCTCCTGCGATGCTCTCGACTGCGTTGCGCTTCGCGCTGGGCTCGTTCCCTATTCTGCTCCTCGGTGATGCTCTGAATGGCTTCGGCTTCCGTGCCAGGTGGGACCACGTTGTCCGAATCGAGCAGATGCTTGATCGCCTTCTCCTTTTCGGCTAGCAGTTTGCTTTCGTTGTCCCTCTTCGTTCGCATCTTGTCCCGTTCGATGTCCTTCGTGCTTTTCAAAGGGTCGCGACGACTCTCTTCACGTTTCTTCTCTTCTTTCTTCGGCTTCCCACGACTGTAGGATCCTTTAGGCTCCGGACGATGACGTTCCCTATAATTACTCTAGCCATATCATTCGTTTATCAAAGAAGCATAAGTTTTTCTTATTAAATATGATAGATGCGCAGCAATATGCATGAAAATGTACAAATTGTCTGATAATATGGTTTTGTAACTTATAATTAAGCTGTTAAAGTAAGATGTAATACATTTCTATAATATAAATTTATAAAACTAATTCAAATCAGTAAAAATCAGTCAGTTATAATTCTCTCGTAACAACTGGACTTGCATATAAAAACATACAATATATATATGTATATATATATATATATATTTTATACATATTATATATAAAATATATATAAAATATATATATATATATATATGTATAACAATATAATTTAAGTAATTATAAAAACCATTTACACTAATAACACTACCTAGAGGATCTTCTCTCTTTTCGTTCCGCAGCATTTGTCTTGTCTTGCTCGTTCTCGCGATTTCTCTCTTCATCTCCTTCCCATGCATCAACGACATCCAATCCTTGCATAAAGTCTTCGTCATCAAGAAACTCTTGTAATTCTTCATCCGGTATCTCCCTGAGGCCCTCAATTGCACGTTGCACATCATCATTGGTATTTTTGAACGGGGTATTCTTTAGTATCTCATGCTTCACATATATCTTGCTTTCACTGTGCTTTACTTCCATTTGATTCTCATCTTCATTACCATTTGTATTATTCATGTTGCTCACCAACTCGTGTGATTACTTCAATAGTCTGAAGTAATCAAGAAAATATAGAATTTTTTCAATTATAATATTTTAAATATATATACATATGTATTCAATTATATATATATATATATTATACATATATATGTATAAAACTTTTAAAATACATACATATGTATAAACTTTTAAAATTTACATAAAATTTAACTACTCCACTTGTATCGTTACAAGTTTTTATAGAAAATGTGACATAATAAATAGTTTACAATTGGCAGCGTTATTTCAAATATATGATTAGAGAATGCTTATTATATATAGTATCGTATTCCTTAGCCATACCTGAGTATGTCTGTAATACAATAAAATAATTTTACCTTCAACATGCTCATCGAGATTCAATGTAACTCTGCAATTTTGAACATTTAGAAATATTTTTCATTCTAAATTCTAGCATATAAATGTTTGTCAAATTTCAAAGCAATTATAAATAACTGATAGATGCAATAATTCAAAATATGTAAAATATTAAATGTAAATATTGAGAAATGAAACAAAAACATCTTGCTTCTGCTACTAAAATAAGAAAGCCACTTTAATCCAACTTTTTAATTAAATTTTTTTTCGATCTTCGAGTCTTCGATACATATATATTTCGTTGTAAAAAAAAAGTTGCAAGAAGGAATTGCAATACTCTGGTGCAGCAGCTTTCACAGAATCGAAAATTGCACGTGTTAACAGTAAAATGACAGATGCATAAATAAACACGTGGACTCGTCTCGATGTAATTGCGAATTTCGGACAACTTACCCGAAAAAACAATATCCTTAATAAAAAATGCGCCTTAGTTTTGACGAAAAAGACCTCTCATTCTCTCAAATCCACCATATTGTTCGTCTAACCTAACCTAACTTTTCCAACATTTTATTATATGATCGTATGCGAGATTTTATTCGCCATCGTGTATATTTTTACAATTTTATATCGCTATTATTTTTTGTTCCTTATACATTTATTAACAAAAGCAAAAAAAAATATTTCTGTACTACATTTTTTTATTGACTGTTGTTAATTAAATTTTACATCAAACTAAAATAATACACTCATATAATATATATATATATATATATATATATATACACACACATATATATATATATATATATATATATATTTTTAATTGAAATATATATTTATTTAAATAAATATATATTTATATTAATTAAAATTAAATTTTAATCAATATTTAAAAAAATTAAATTTTAATTAATGTATGATTATATGTTCAAATTTTAATATACTTTGAGAATAGAAATAAATTAGAAAACTTTAAGTATACACTAGTCTGCACTCGGTTCTTTAAAAATAAGAAAGTTAAGATGTACTTGTAAAAAATCGTATTTATTTAATAATTCGTTTATATTATAAGAATCATAGCTTGCAAATATTATGTATGGATTTATATAAATCATACATATATTCAAATAACAATGATGCATAAAAAGTCTGAATTGCCGAAAAAGAAAATTTAGTCCTCTTATATATAATTTGTATCTTTATACCTATCTGTTAAGTCACACTCTTTAAATTAATATACATTTTCTGAATCTGGAAAATATATTGTAATTAAATTAATAACTTTTCATAATGATATATAACAATAAAAAAAGAAAAATTACAATGATCAAGTACTGTTAATTACAATATAAAGTACTGTTAATTTTTGGTCCATATGTGCATATAAAAGGCATATGTAATTTTTACACATATATGCGCAGGACCATCACGGTTTCTTGTGGTACAGCAATTCGCCGTAAGTCTTTTTGAATTGTAACATATGTAGCAACGTTTTCTCTATTATTTTTGGTATCCAACTGTTTACGAAGCACTCGAATTGTCGAAAGACATGATTCTGACTGTCCTCGTCATTTAGTATTATAATTACAGCCACAGGATTATCCGCTTTTTCTAATGTACATATAAAATTTAACTTGATGTTCCTCGCCGCATCGTTCAACTGTTCCAGCACCTTATCCGACATGATGGCCTCTTTCTCCAGAAGACTCAATTGAACATCCAACAGAGTTCTATTATTTTTCTTTCTGTTGTACCATACACATTTATTACCAGTACAATGGAACATTATTTTCTGATTATTCCTAATATGTACGTCAGATAATGCTTCAACTTTTTGCTGCTTTGTTTCCGAATCGAGGAGTATCTCGACTTCTAATTTAAAAATCATCTCGAAGACATCTCTTATTAGATTAAAAATCATAAAGTACCAATTATCCTTCTTATACTGTTCCTTGTCAGGGATGTCCGTACGTGTCTCAAAATCCTCTGGTAATCCAGCAAGAAGGAAACGACCTGCTCGTATCGTACTCTTAAACTTCGATTTCCTCTTCTTCGTTGGTATCAATTGAGGTGGTACCGTACTAAATAACGTTTTCAATACATTCTCGTAATCATTTACTCTAGCGGCTGCACAGATATCGGCAGTAAACACGCAACAATGTTGAAACGCTATTAATGCGCGGTCCGATGTGATCGCAGCTGTGTTCTGATTAAGTTCAATCGGATCTTGAAGGCATAACGGTTTGTTAACATCTAATTTCTTGGCACTATTCTCCATAACGCAACTCTTATATCTATCCATGTAATCGGGCAACTTGTCTACCTGTACAAACTCTGCCGTCGAATATGTTTTCCCATCCAGCAGACATATCACGCAAGAATTGAATTGAAACGTGGCGTAGAAGAAGAAGAAATTGTGAAACAGCTCTGCGATACTACTGTTATTGCTAATAGGTGGTAATACGGTATTTTCGTTAAAATTCACTTGCCATCTGTTTATAATTTGCGGTACGCAAGCTCTTTGAAGGTGTAATAAAGGCGGAAGAAGACCGACCGATTCTTGCTGAAGGTAAAAGATAATCAGACACACTAATCCATAACTAGATATCTTTCCGACACCGGAAATCCCGAAATGCCTCGCCCAATACTTGATGAGCAGCATTAATGGTCGTAATCGAAAATCGCGCGATACACAATATCGTAAGAAATTACTTTTATAAATACCTAAGCTATTCTTGAAGGAAATGTCGCAGGAGACGTTAGTCGGTATGTAACGGAACTTTATAATAGGTGTTTTTGCTTTAGGAATCGGTATTATATTGGAAAAGACAGATTTCATGCTGTACATAATTGTCCTCACTCTCTTGAAGATTGTTAACGTTAGCATAAACGGTGACACATCCGGTCTTTGACAAGCCGGTGGTAAACCTTGAACAAAACAAAATATTATTTAAATATGTATGACGATATTGCGATATATATTTAATATAGTATATATTATATTAATGTGTGTATTATATTAATTAATATATTCTAATATATATATTATAATATAAATAATATATTTTAATGTGATGGTAAAATAATATCACCTACCAATTTGACCAACATACATGTAGATATCTAAATCACTCTCTTTAAAACTCAATCCAGCCACTGTCGAACCAAATGTATATGTTTGACATTCTGGAAAAACTGATCTGAATATCTCATTCAAATGAGTGCAAATGACATCATATCGGGTTAATAATTCGAATTCAGTAAGCTGTATTGTATTTAAAAGCGCTGCTAATTGGCCATCAAATATCACTTCAGTTTCAACATTGCCCTTTATACGATCATAACTTATCGGATCTTCTTCTTCCTGAGTTTTATTTGGTGTATTAGCTTTCTTTCCTTAAAACAATATAAATAATATTGTTATATAATGTTTGTAAGAAAAATAGAAATAATAAACATGGTATTGTTTTAAAAGAAATTTATAATATATCTTTACCTGTGTTGAAACTCGAGTTTTCTCTATTTTTCTTAATTCTTTTCAGACATAATTTTTCATTTGGAAACCAATTTGACTTGCTCATTAAAACATTAACAGGTGCACTGCAATGTTACAAAGTAATATAAAGAAAATATACATATAATGATTCATACATTTGTGTCTTAAAATATATTTTTTTGAATTTCATTTTTTTCTCAATTTTGCATATAAATATCATAATGAAAATTAATACATTAGAAGCCGATTGTTCTAACTCTTGGTAAGTTTTACCCACACAACAGGTAGCATATCTTTGTCTCTTTTTGTAGAATTTATCTGAAAAGAAACGAAAATATGCTACCTGTAAAACTTACCAAGAAGTTGGAAAAATTGGCTCTAGAAAGAGAAAATAAATTTTCATTACCAAAATTCTAGGAAAAAAAATATAATACATTCTTAATATATTTAAAACTATATTAATCATTATGCACACACTACAAAATTAATTAATAAGTACAATTTTTTTGTCATAAATATTTATTATAAATTACCTATCAAAATACTCAATCCATAAGGAATTCCGTCCATAACGTTCCCTTTTGATTGGTCCAAACTGGCGGAGGAATCTCGCTAAATCCTCTCGCGATATAGTTTTAGGCAAAGGAGCAATGCAAAGTGATTTTCCTGGTAAATAATATTGATCTTCTTCCCGAGATTTAGGCTCCCGTGATTTCGCTTCAGGACGATTTGAACTTGTAGCAACTTGATTATTTGCACAGTTAACAGATTCAACAGATGATTTAGAATTCATTATTAAATGCACAATGTGTACAATTGTTGATTTATTATATTATATTGATTTGTCTCTTTCTCTTACTCCCTTTTAGAAAAAATATTCGTGCCTTAACAATTATGTTAAAAATAAAGAGATCAACAAATTATTCTCGATAAAAGTTTAATGCTTGACCGCATTTAGTAATCACTTTCGAGAAATATTTTGTTTCAATAAATCCTTTTAAATTGCCAGCACAGAGAATAACATCATTTTCAGATTCAAGAAATATTAAACCGTCTCTCCTCGCCTTCTCAAAATTGATATAAATAAAAAGTTCTGCACTTTGACGCAATCCGTTAATAAAATTTAATCCTTTGGCAAAGTGAATATGATTTCTTTTCATACGCGATAAACCTTCAGTTTTTATCGTTGTCCAACATTTGAAATAAGTGCCATGAATTATATCAAATTCTGCATTGTCAAGTACTTTCAAAGTCAATTCATTAATCTGAGATATGGAATGACCCTGATTCGCTTTGATCTCTAAAATACCATTAATAGTATTGAGAGTATATCTCTGTTTGGTATTATTCTCTACTACTCTCTTGATATCATCAATGGTATAGTGGTGCAATTTAGTCAATAGCTCATCGACTACAACAAAGCCATTTGGTTTAATATTTAAACCTTCCTTTATAGCTCCATGACGTAATAAATATGATAGCTTTTTGCTGAGAACAATATCATTTTTACTCTGATTCTGAAAATAAAATAAATACCATCTGTTAGAATCAATGATTACATATTTAAGCAAACTAAACAGGCTCTTAAAAATATTCAGAGAAATATCATTTTTCATATGTTTTATAGGAGTTGACAAACTGTATAATAAAAAATACTATTATTACTACTATTTTATATTATTACTACTATATTAAGAAATATATTAGTAATAATTGTTTTATATGTATATACTATTGATTTATATATTAGAATATAAAAATACTTGAGTATGATTGAATCTTGACTTGAGATGATAAAATCTTAAAAAAAAATATATATATATATATACAAAAATTATATATCTAATGTTAAATATATAAAATATTTAAATATAAAATAATTATATAATACTCAATATGTTAATTTCTCTTGACTTGGATGTATCTAAATTTTCTTAAGATAGAACAATCTTTTGAATTGCAAGCAATTTAAAATAATTACAAACTATTACTTCTAGATATCATATCCGATCCTTAATTATATTGATATTAAATATTACAGATAAAAAATAAAAAATTTTCAGAGATTAAATGCTTCGCATATTTACCAATACTAAGGTTTTTTGCTATTCCACAAATGTCTGTTGAATATTTATATCTTTTAAACAAAAATAGAACCAGAAAGTATATTTCTAAAGACATACCAAGATTGTTTACATGAAAAAATAATAAAAAAAAATATGCCTCTTCTTTTCTTTAGATCAAAACAACAAGTGCTGTTTACATAAACAGATACATCCAACAGATAAATTACATATACCTACTTTTTATATACAATTTTATCTCTCCTATAATATAGATACAAATTATAAAATGTAGCAGTGAGAAAAATAGCCTTTTTTAAAACATTACATGAAATAGAACTAACCTTCCCAAACATAAAAATAGCGCAGCTCGTAAGCTTCACCTCGCATTAATTCAATGCATACTCTTTTTCGCGTTTTATGTCAATTCATAAATATGCATATTTCAACTCATTTAAAAGGTTGCGAAAAATTCGTAGAATGCTTAGCAATCTGCAGTAATTAATTACAAAACAATCACGCAATATTCGTTTTTGAGTTTAATATGCTACGTCGTGGAACAAATCATACACAGCTTTGATGCTCCAAGTTCACATGTATATCTTAAAGCCCGTATCAGACTATGGATTAGGATTAAGATTGAATTGAAATATAACCAATCAGAATCAAGAAAACTATCAATCTCAAGCTTGTAAACTTTGTTCTGATTGGTGAAATTTCAATCTAATCCCAATCTTTAGGGCTTTAGGCTGATTTACAATTCCAATTTGGACAATTATTATTAATTATTAATTTTTGTTAATAATAGTTTGTTATAAAATATATTATACATATATATTATATTATAATATTTTTTATAAAATAAAATATATATTTAATATATTTATTATATACCCAAATAGCCACAGTAATTATTATGACATCATTTTGATGGCAAATGATGCATTTTGACATTAAAATAATATCATAATAATTACTATCTGGCTATCTGGGTATGTCTTATTATATATTAATATATGTCAAAGGCATATATATATGTTGCTTGATTATTTAATTTAACAAGTAATAATAATAAATATTAAATTTACAAAACAATATTTGAAAAGTCAATTAATCTCAGAATTATAATCATTATATCTGTATTATAATATGCATAAATATGACTTTATGAATAGTAGAGATGTGCGAATTATTCGAATTCGAATCGAATCGAATCGAATCTGGCAATATTCGATTTTGTAAAATGAATTCTATATGTATTTGAAAAGGGACTCGAAATTGATGACATACAAATGAATTCTTTTCGAATAGCTGTGCTATCTGGGAATGCTCTATCAATAAATAATTTCACAGAGAAACAGCTCTAATGTATGCCTGTATGTCGCAAGATGCAGAATTTGTCGCTGAACTTATAAAACATGTACATGACATTATAATATCTGTGACAATAATTGGAAAACTGTATATATATATATATATATATATATATGAATTAGATTTTTAGATTTTACCATTGTCAACAGTCATACCCCGTTGAACACACCAGTTCTCGTCTGATCACTGAAGTTAAGCAACGTTGGGCATGGTCAGTACTTAGATGGGTGACCGCTTGGGAACACCATGTACCGTTGGCACCTTTTTTTTCTTTTTTTTTGCTGATTCAAAATCTTAAAAGAAACATAAAACATTTTTTTATATATTATTTGTGATAAATCAATTTTATATATTATAAAAATTTTCTCTAGAAGTAAGAGTCTGGGGAATGTTCTAATTTCTAGTTCAAAAGAAAATGGCATCCATAGTGAATTCAAAAAACAGTGAACAATAATGAAAATTGTCTTATCTTTTAGTAAACAAAATTTTTATAATATATAAAATTGATTTATCACAAATAATATATAAAAAAATGTTTAATGTTTCTTTTAAGATTTTGAATTAGCAAAAAAAAAGAAGAAAAAAGAAGGTGCCAACGGTACATGGTGTTCCCAAGCGGTCACCCATCTAAGTACTAACCATGCCCAACGTTGCTTAACTTCAGTGATCAGACGAGAACTGGTGTGTTCAACGGGGTATGACTGTTGACAATGGTAAATTCTTTAATTACTGAAGAAAAAGTAACTTGAAAATTTTAAGAGGATTGTAAATAAAATAGTTTCTTTATTGTCATTATAATTTAAGTATACATACATTTAAAACAAAAATTAAAATTATTATTGGTAATAAGGAGATCCTAAAGCCGTCTGTTTTACCAATAAAACGCGAAATTAAGAATTTGACTATATATTAATCATTTTACTAACTATACATACCCCAAACAGCACAGAATTTTATGATAAAGATTCATAAATATTTATAAATATATATTTTTTTAAATATTATATAAATATTTTGAAAATGTTTTATAAAAACCTTTTATTTAACATATTATTAAAATAGATTAAAATATTTAATATAATATATTTATGGTATAAATAAAGATAAATATTTATATAGATATATTATTTTGTAAATATTTTTTAACTAAATTGTTAGTTTTTTCATTAATTGCTATGTGATGTATATCTTTCTCATATTTGATTTTTATTGTAAGGATTCTATAAGGCTGACAAAACGGAAATTAATAAAATTAAAAGTCATAAAATTATTTATTCTATTTTTGAACTACATTCTACAATAGGGGTTGTATAGATTTACATGAGCCGTCTATTTTATTGATTTAATTAATATTGAATATTAAGAATTAAATATTAAATATTAATATTTAAAATATTAAAAATAGGGCAATCCGATAAGTACTTAGCCTCATCGCCCAATGGTGCCAGTATCGCAAGAGAGTTTTACTATCGTGTAGTACATTCTCGTAGACGGCTACTGTTAAAATTTCAGCCGAATCGGACTCGTAGTTTGGTTTTGACCGCGTGTGGAAGCAGGCGTGTCCGCGGATTTTAGAAAAATGGAAAAAGAGCAATATCGGTCGGTGATTCGAATCTTGTTTTTGGAAGGGAAATCGCGCAGCGAAATCAAAGATGTCGAAATGAAGAATCTATATATATATATATATATATATATATATATATATATTTAAATTAAATCGAGAGCATAAACAAATATAAACCAAGTTTGTAAAATACACACGAATATATTTTTATCTATATACTACTTTATATATTTGTATTATATACATTTATATATTAATTTCTTTTTAATATTTATATAATGTGTACCATACAGGTGTCACATATCATCAATATATTATTTATATATATATGCATACATAATATTATCTAATATTTAATTATACAAATTTATATATGTATATATTCCACAAACTCTTTTTACAAAACGATCTATAGAAATAATTTACCAAAGTTTGATGATTTACATAATGACGATCCTTTTTAAGGAAAAAAATAGTTTTAAAAATACTATTTTGCGTATATATTTAGTACATACGTTATATTTTATGTTTCTATTTTTATATTTATTCTTTTAAGTTATAACCCAGCCAGAAATAATAGTTAAATCGACGTCGAATCAATGTCAAATCGATGCCGAATTGGTTGAATCGATATTGATTTTATGTCTTTTCGACCGATCATTTCTGACTAGAAAAGCAGACCATTAAAATGATTGTATATATATAGAGTTTCAAAAATATGAAATCATATTTTTTGGCATTAATTACAATATACAAATCGTTTAAATGCGCGTCGTGTATTTCATGTTAATAGAATATTAGTTGTCACAATTATAATAAAAAATAAAGTAACAAGAATAGAAAGAGACTTTTATTTATGATGATTTATTTACAATTCATAAAACAAAAATCTTTAATATAACCAAAGACAGCACGGAATTTTATTTCTCTGTATAAAGGCGCTTTTACTGCTGCATAACGATTTAATTGGTAACACGTCCATTTCATAATGCAATTTATTTTCAGTTTTTTTTACTTTTTATAATAATAGTCTTAACACGGAGAAATTGTTGCTTATTATTATGTTTTTATAACGAAAGAATATAAAAGATCCTTGGCAGAAAGGAAACTATTCAGTGGAAATTAAGAAATTACTATTATTATTATTAGCAGAAGGTTGCTTTCGACCTATTCATACAATTTCCATTACACAGAATTTGCATATGATGTGTGTAACAGTAGAATTAAAAATACGAGACTAGACATTTCCAAATATTCGAACAACTAAATTTCTATCAATAGTGATAAAACTTCTGGCAAAATGCTTAATTGTAATTAAAAAAAATGTTTTGCTTTATTTTGTTCTCTTCCTTCACTTTTTTCTCATTGTTAATATATATAATTCGTTTGAAAGAATTTCTCCTAACTTATGCAAGTAGTAATGAAAAGATTATTTCGTAGCACGTCTCGAAACAAAACGTATATAAGATCTTATACTTTTAGATATTATATAAAATTGCATGAAAATCATAAGCGTATATATGCGTAAATTACACAAAATTAAATTATTTTAGATTTTGGAAACATTACATATTAATATATATATAATACATATTAATATATATATATTGAAACTTTTGTACTTTCCATGGATCGTATTAAAATAAAAAAAAAACAAACGTAATACAAAATTTATAACTATTACATGATATAATTTAAAAATGATACAATTTAAAAATAAATTTAGTTATATTTTAAATATTGTTTATAACAAAAATTGCAAACCTAAATACTGAAGTATCTTATATAAAATTTTATTAGTGAAACATGGACCACAATTTTTTCAATAAATTCTAATAAGATTCAAAGATTATAATCTTTAGTTTGCGACCATAAATATATATATATATATATATATATATATATATATATATGTGTGTGTGTGTGTGTGTGTGTGTGTGTGTGTGTACGTATACGCATTTGTATATGTATATATATATGCACGTATACGCATTTGTATATGTATATATAAATATATAGTATGCATAGATGAGATTAAGACGATTCTGAAGATTGACATAAAAATAAAATTAATTATAATAATCTTAGACGACGCATGATACTTAATAATCAACGTAAAATTTTTAAGAAACATTCAAACTGGATTCCAGATTTTAAGTTTAAAACAAAAGCAATTTTTATGATAACTTTTTTCCAATTGTCTTCTTGTTTTTAGAATTAATTATATAAGTAGTAGTATTAAAAAATTCGTTGGTAAATTCAAGATATATTTACAATATCTCTAATCGATATTGACTTATACATTTGACCGTTTTCATATTTTGTTGTTATTTTTTTGTGCTTTCGGTTACATTTGAGAGAATAATATATATTAAAACGTCCTGTGCGATTAGTCATACATTTGCAAACAGCGAAAGAAGACACGTTTGACGATAATACTAATTAAAGTATTTGAACAAAAGTCATTTCATAATGTAAGTACGAATTATATATATATATATGTACATTTACAATTATATGCAGAGATATTTTTTGCGTTTATATAATTTATAATATCATTATAAGGTGTTTGATAAGTTTCAAATCATTTAATGATTTTTCCTGAACATGTAAGATATACATATTCAAAATAATGGAAAAAGAATAACCTCAGAACCTAGGAACATATATATTTTATTTCTTCTAATTCAAATATTTCTTAAAAATAATATTAAATACTTCCTTTAAAACTTAGAGAATCTTCAAAATTTTAAATCAATCTAATTTATTGTAATAAACAAATTTTTTTTTAATATCAAACATGTTTGCCCAAATTAATTACAATCTAGTTTTTAAAATGCATGTCATCAAACACAATTAAACATAATTTTACATCATATACTCGAAATTTATGTACACTATTCATAATACTATATTCTCTTTAAAAATAATTGTGATATACTCTGCTACATGTTATGTTCTGTATATAAAAAACTGATTCAATAATTGTTGCTTTTTCTATAGCAATCTAATAAATCATAACATTCTTACATAGCACGACATTGTCGCGTTAAACTCGAATTGAGCATTATGGATAAACCGAATAAGCCAAAATGTGTTAAACGTGAAGAAATCATCAAAAATAAAAGTGAAATCAAAATAATCCCAGAGGTGAACCCACAAATAATCCCGAAGAAAAAGTGGAAGAAAAGCCTGTAAAAGAATCTAAACTTGTCATACCAAAAGAGTCTGGAGAGGAAAACGAAAATCGCCCTGCAGCAGAGCTCGGAAATGACCTCAATGCAGCGTTATTACGAATGAGCATCAGAAATGAGCCCGACAATGACCCCGAAAATGAGCCTGAAAATGACCCCGAAGATGATGTCAAATGCATACCATCATTTAATTCAATTACTCTTGAAGATATCAAGAATAGTACGTATAAAACATTTATTACTTAATTTAGTTATTTAATACTTTACATCTGTTATTGCATATTGCCACAGTTCTGTACGAATTACACGAATACTTTGACGAATTTCAAATTGAAATTGTTGCCTGTCCTGATTTAACCAGAGAACCGTACAATTTAGAAATGACTGGTGAGAAATATAACAAGCGTTTTTGATTTTTCGCATTTGAAATACAAAAGTTTTACATTTTAACAGGATTATCCGGGGATACACGTATTTGGGAAATGTATGCTCGCAAGAGGGTAAGAGTTGGAAATGAAATGATACAGCTTATGGAGGGAGCAAACTATTATAACAGTATGCAAAAACCGGGAATGGTGCTCAAAATATGCGCTAAAGGACGCAAAACCAATTACAACATCATAACATTAATACAGAATATTTTGCATAAGCGCTTATATTTTAAAATAGGTAAAAAATTGTTTATACGAAATTATATAATTTCATTACCAAAATAAATACAAAGTAAAAAGTAAAATATTAGTTCAGAGAAATGACGTATATATAAATAAATAAATCTTTCATACTTAACACTTTAGGGTTAGGTGGCCTGCTCCTAATACAAGGGGGACACATAAAACTGGGCGAATTTCCAAAGAATGGCGAGCCACGGTTTGAGGAGATAAACTGTAATTTAAATACAATCGTATGTACCGGCGTAATAGTCAATGATCCAGTCATAATTGAAGGAAAACATGATGGACTTGTAAGTTATTTGTGCACATCCAAAAACTAATTTTTTAAATATCATATAATTCTAAATACTCCATTTTCATATAAATTATATAATTAAATTATAAATTGTTATTGTTTACATTGTTATATTCTTTATATTTTCATATATTTTCTATTTCTTCCTTTGAGTATATATTACGAGTTTATACGCGTTTTGTTATATATTTATACTAATATATGTTATGGAAATTAACATATATTTATATTTCCAAATTTCATATGATCATAGTAACATGAAAATGATAACATTGATATCTGATTTTCAAAGCGACATAATATTAAATAACATTAATTCATTAACATTAATTTCATGAACTTTATATTTTGCAGTTTTATACAAATGATCGTTATATGTTTCCCGTAAGCTCTGACTTATTGTCAGAGTTCGACTTTCTGAACGACATCACGCCAGAAGAGACAGAATATGTTGGTTACTTTAATATAGCGGAACGTATGTTTTATTATTATTAGCATACTTACTAAAACGTATCATTTTTCATACATTATTTGATAAACTTAATTTATAATTATTAATATTTTGGTAAATTTATAATCTTAATTTATAATTATTAATATCTTAATTTATAATTTTAATTATGATTTAAATTTGTCCACGCTTCAAATAAAATCATATCATCTGTACTAGCTGTACTTCGTGATAAATGTGAAATATTTTTATGAGATATTTAAGCCGAAAATGTTATAACATATTTTCGGCTCGATGAAATATCATCGAGATATTTCATATATATCTTTAGTTTTGCACATAAATTATCTCATTAATTTTGAAACGTAAATCGTATTAATTCTTATCAATTATATATTTTATTATTTATTTATTATTTATTATTTATTTTATTATTTAATTATTATATTATAACACTGATTGATTCGAGTAGTACACATAATTTATGTTTTTATTTCGATTGATGGTGGAAAAAAATATCAGAGAAGAATATGTTAAGAAGTTCAATAATTATAAATTTATTTTCTAAATATTCTGTAGATGTACAAATTATCCGACTATTAACTTTTTATTGACGAATAACAAAAAATATATACTGTATATTATTATAAATATATAAAAATGTGTATTTGTAGATAAATATATATATACATTTAAATTAAATAGAAAACATATTAATATAAACCAAGTCTGTAAAATACACACAAATATATATTTATCTATATACTACTTTATATATTTGTATTATATACATTTATATATTAATTTCTTTTTAATATTTATATAATGTGTACCATACAGGTGTCACATATCATCAATATATTATTTATATATATATGCATACATAATATTATATAATATTTAATTATACAAATTTATATATGTATATATTCCACAAACTCTTTTTACAAAACGATCTATAGAAATAATTTACCAAAGTTTGATGATTTACATAATGACGATCCTTTTTAAGGAAAAAAGTAGTTTTAAAAATACTATTTTGCGTATATATTTAGTACATACGTTATATTTTATGTTTCTATTTTTATATTTATTCTTTTAAGTTATAAACCCAGCCAGAAATAATAGTTAAATCGACGTCGAATCAATGTCAAATCGATGCCGAATTGATTGAATCGATATTGATTTTATGTCTTTTCGACCGATCATTTCTGACTAGAAAAGCAGACCATTAAAATAATTGTATATACATATATAGAGTTTCAAAAATATGAAATCATATTTTTTGGCATTAATTACAATATACAAATCGTTTAAATGCGCGTCGAGTACTTCATGTTAATAGAATATTAGTTGTCACAATTATAATAAAAAATAAAGTAACAAGAATAGAAAAAGACTTTTATTTATAATGATTTATTTACAATTCATAAAACAAAAATCTTTAATATAACCAAAGACAGCACGGAATTTTATTTCTCTGTATAAATGCGCTTTTGCTGCTGCATAACGATTTAATTGGTAATGCGTACATTTTATAGTGCAATTTATTTTCAGTTTTTCTTACTTTTTTATAAAAATAGTTTCAACACGAAGACTTTGTTGCTCATTATTATGTTTTTATAACGAAAGAATATAAAGTATTTTCGGAAGAAAAGAAACTATTCAGTGGAAATTGAGAAATTACTATTATTATTATTAGCAGAAGATTGCTTTCGACCCATTCATACAATTTCTATTACACAGAGTTTGCATATGATGTGTGTAACAGTAGAATTAAAAATACGAGACTAGACATTTCCAAATATTCGAACAATTAAATTTCTATCAATAGTGATAAAACTTCTAGCAAAAATCTTAATTATAATTAAGAAAATGTTTTGCTACATTTTGTTCTCTACCTTTATGTTTTTCTCATTGTTAATATATATAATTCGTTTGAAAGAATTTCTCCTAACTTATGCAAGTAGTAATGAAAAGATTATTTCGTAGCATGTCTCGAAACAAAACGTATATAAGATCTTATACTTTTAGATATTATATAAAATTGCATGAAAATCATAAGCGGATATATATGCGTAAATTACACAAAATTAAATTATTTTAGATTTTGGAAACATTACATATTAATATATATAATACATATTAATATATATATATTGAAACTTTTGTACTTTCCATGGATCGTATTAAAATAAAAAAAAAAAACAAACGTAATACAAAATTTATAACTATTACATGATATAATTTAAAAATGATACAATTTAAAAATAAATTTAGTTATATTTTAAATATTGTTTATAACAAAAATTGCAAACCTAAATACTGAAGTATCTTATATAAAATTTTATTGGTGAAACATGGACCACAATTTTTTCAATAAATCCTAAGAAGATTCAAAAATTATAATCTTTAGTTTGCGACCATAAATATATATATATATAAATATTAAATATAAATATTATTAATATTGAATATTAAGAATAAATAGTAATTAATCTTATAAGAATAAGTATATTATATTTAAGTTAGTTTTAGTAAGTAATATTTTTTTAATATTAAGAATAAATATTGAGAATAAATATATATATATGTACTAATATTTCAAAAATTATAATATTATAAATATTAATACTAAATATATTAAAAATTATAATATCAAATATTAATCTTATAAGAATTAATCTGCGCTTTCTGCCAAGCGGTGAATCCGCCCTTAGGTTGTCACTGTCAGAGTTTAGTGAGCGAGCGCTTGTCCAATCACATCAGTTCATTTCTACGTCGGTGTGAATCCGCCATAACACAATATCGATTATCCCGTCATGCATCGCGCTGTCATGTGCACCAACTTCAAGAATGTCAACAGCGTCCAAAGTCACTTTTGGTTTATGCTGCACGGCGTCTGTCGGAATAATAGGCTACGTGCATTACAAACAGGCTTACGACAGGTAGGCGAGGAAAAGCGATAAGTGGAAGACAGTTGCGCGCTCGCGATAAAAAAATATATCGGTACGATCGCTTCATAATCACGTCGCCTTTTTTTTCAGAGAGCAACTTCATCTGGGTGTCGTGCGCGACATCGAGCGACGAGAGCGCCGAAAAGCGGAAAATGTCTACGTTCTGCAGCAGCAGGCTGAATTAGCCAAGGAATTGCGCAAGGATTGACGAGGGAAACCGAAGAATAACGCGGAGTTGTAGAATATTCTATTGCTAGAGAGAGAGAGAATTTTGAGAGAACTGTGCGCGTATTATTCGAATTGTCCGGAGCTTCCGTCATTTCGACTCCATTTCGTCGAACTTGAGAAACGTCTTCGATTTTAATTTCTATTTCTTTTCATTTCGACGAACAATTATGGCCACTGAAGAAGAGCCTGTGGATCAACCGGGTAAGAGTTTCGAGCTTTAGAGAACGAAAGGAAAGATAAGCTTATTTGAGTACACCAGTTATACTGGTGTATATAAGGTTATAGTTCTATATATATAAGTATTACACAATACTTGTAAATGCTTCTTCTTGGACTGTTTTGCGTTGTTCTTTTCTATTTTTTTATTTGTCGTTATGTAATTGATGGTTCTTTTGCGAAAAAAGGGGAAACATTAAAATTCAAGATGCATCTTTGAGAAAATGTTATTGTAAACTTTAGTCGATGCACAAGTTTATTAGATTTTTATTTTTCTCAACAAATTGATCACCTTTTGTTATATTGAATTAAATTTAAAAGCGTATATATTAGATGTTTATTAGTGTGAAATAGTATTTTATTGTAATGAAAACATTTCCAGTACAAACAGCTAAAGCGATAAATTTCTGTTTTTATAGATTTGTGTGCCATAGAGGAGAGTCTAATGAGTTTTGAGAAACTGGACAGAGCATCTCCCGATTTATGGCCTGAACAAAGTGAGTATCTCTTTTTCGGAAGATCTCTTTTGGAGTTATACATACATAATAAACATCATATATGTAGCGAGCAATGAAGTTCCAGGTGTGCATGAGTTTGTTGCTCAAAATTCACCGCAGACAGAGCCATGTTTTTGGACTGCGAATTTTACAGCGGACGACATAAGTCAATTGCATCGTGAGTTAATATGCATTAACATATGAATCTTCATCCTGTGTTGCTAAATATCATAAAAAATTTTCTTGCAGAACTGGGTAATTTAACAATGACCGGGCTTATCTCGGAAGTGAAAAAACTGCACGATTTAGCTTATCAGCTGGGTCTAGAAGAGGCTAAGGAAATGACGCGCGGCAAATATTTGAATATATTTAAACATAAATAATATTTCATAGATATTTTTTTGCTAAAAAACCAAACAAAAAAAAAAATAAAACTCGTGAAAATGCAATACCAATTCGTGTTCTTAAGAGCCATTTTGAGATGATTGCGTTTGCAATCTTAAGAATTCTCCAAGATCCATCTTGTGTATCTCTGTACATTTATGAACACAGATGGAAAAATGGTGCTTGAGTCACAACTAGACCCATATGATAGGATTCCGACCTGATAAAGAAAATATATATATATATAAACATGTGAACTACATCTGTAGTATATATACATATATATATATGTATACAAACATTATACATATATATATGTTTATGTTTGTATAACATACCAGGAAATATGAGTCCGCATATCTGTATAATAGAGGACTTCCGCTGTAACCTGAACAAGGTTCACAGTTTCCTTTGGCGCACAATTCAACAGACAGACCTTGGCTTGAATAATCCGAACATTGCTGCTTAGGTACGAGTTTTAGTTGTAATGACTGTTGCGTCGGTGGTTGTGCTGGATCACAGGGTTTTTATCGCATTTGAATATCACACATAAACACTGCTTACAATTTATGCTTATACGATAGTTTGTTCAATTAATCATATATATAATACCTTTTTGACCGGACAATTTACCCCAGCCGACAATGGTGCATGTACTTTCCAAGCTGACGTATCTGTCCTCCGGTATAAAGCAGATTGGTTGCGCTGTGGCTGAAGAAGACCGGATGTCATATATGCATTTCATTAAAACCTGAAAAACCCTCTCACATGTATACCTAAGAATTGTACATACCTGTAAAATTGATAGCCTTCTTCAAACGAAGCAAGGCAACGTTACTGGAAAAACTTGTTGCGTCGTAGCCCGGATGTTTAATGACATACGATATCTCGTGGCTACTGGTATTGTGTCCGCAAAATAAGTTATTGCAATCTGGATTTGACTCTGTATTATATTCACCAATAAGCACAGAGCATCTAAATACGAATACGAGAATCATCTATATATAATTATTGCATGCTACGATTTCAGGCTTAATTATCACAAATCGAAAATCTTAGCAACGATCTTTCGTTACATTATATATTTTCGACTGCTATATCCATATATATATACATACAACTTGTATTTGTCCGATTTCGCGAGTGCGCATGTAGCTGTAGTTAATACTGTACGCTCATTAACAATCACGCCACTGCACGAGTATTTAATCTCACTCGTTAATGTATCTGAAAGACGAATTCCTGCTAACAAGTCTCAAAGCGCATGTCTCATACAGTAAAAAAAGGTACATAGCTAATTGACCCCTCTGAGAATTGATCAGATAGATTTAAATTCTTCAAGTAGATTTAAATTTGTACATATATCGTATACATAAAAAGTTGCTGAAGCCGCACAACTTCGTTGAGGAACTTGAAGTAGAGTTTAACGTGCTCACTAAAAGTTATCAATGACGTTATGTGACGCAACATATATCTTGATCTCTTTCGACGTAAAGATTCAGAGAAAGGAAAGAAAGAAATTAGCGGGTTCTGGCCCAAGTAGCAAACTGACGTCATTAATGTCAAAATGACGTCATTTTGACGTCTAATGCGTCATTAAACGTCAAAATGACATTATCAAACATCGAAATGACGCCATTTTATTACCTGGGGAAATATCTTGTCTATATGTAAAATATACTTGCTTGCGAAACTGATCCTCGCGAGGAAGGGATACGATCCCAAGTCGTCTACGTTATTTCGAATGAGACTCTTCCCGCACTGAGAACTCGATTGCGTCAGTGATACATCCTGACTCGCATAAATCGGCCTTGTGGAATAATAATTGTCCACGCTACAGCAGATTTTCAGGCGCGTTCGATCGTATCCGCATACAGCTTGTCGTAATCTATATTTGAAAAAAAAAATCGACGTATGTAGATACGCCAGATACACCGAAATACGATTATCAGTATCGCGTTACCTGTGGGCGGAGAGCTCCTGTCGTTCCATTAGGGACACAACCGCGGGGCAGTGTTCGATAAATGTGCATTTCTGATCGCCGGGGCAGGAGAGAGAATTATTTTGGCACATAAAATATCGATCCTCGGAATATTCGCACGATTTCGCAGTTACTAATATCGGCAGTAAAAGCAGCAGCAATAAGCAGCACATTTTTCTAAATATCAATATAAATCAAGTGATCACCTTATATACATATATATATAAGGAATTAAAATTCTCTACTTTCGTATAATTATTAAAAAATTTTTACCAAAAATCGACTTTATAAAAAAATTCTTTCCAGAGGAAAAATTCCTTGTTCTCTAAATTCGTTGTTCTTTCCGTACACGACGGATAACGCAAGATACTGATGCACAGATTTTTTCGATTTCGCAACCAACATCATCTGTACCGGATGATGATGAACTGATTTCGTTGCATCGTGCGCTTTTGTGCGCGACAGACAATTTCGTTTACCTCGACTAGAGCATTATTCGCGTATCCGGCGGAACTGCGATTATCACGCAAAAACATATATATATATATATATATACGTGTTACGCGATTAATGTGCGTAAATTGCTGTTACGCTTTACCTAGATTTCTTAAGAAGATAACAGAAGGTTGATATAAATCGGATTTTGACGATACAAGTTGATGAATTAAAAAACAGAATTTGATGACAACAGCATTATTGTCGTTCACATATATTATATTTCTATAAAATATATTTTACGAGATATTTATATATTCTTTTAATTAGACATTGTCTGATTGCGTGAAACATCCACCTTTTGTGCGTATAAAATTGATTATATATTCGTACAATACATAACTACACAAAAGGAATTGCGTTGGGTGAATCGAGATAATAAATTATTAAGTACTAGCATAAAATCTCTTTCGCTGTATTCAGCATGCTACGAATTAATTATTTGAATTGTATTAACGAACTTTGGTTTGTAAGTGTTTCTTCTTTTTTTTTTCTTTAATTTTTACCCGAAATCTTAACAATTCGTATTTCGTCTCTCGTTCCACTCAATCGCAGTTTCGATGATGCCGGACGATCGAACGAAGTCGACGGCGACGATATTTGCTGTATGTTGCCATTTACTGTTATACCAATTTGTAACATTGATATTAACTTTCTCTGCCATTTGACGGATGCTTCCGAGCCGATTTAAAATCACGTCCCACGTGTTGGGCGTCAATTCGGCCATCGCTGATCTCGGAATCGCTCTGGGATGTCTGAAATTTGAAAAATTATTAAGATTATTCAGAAAGATATAAATAATTAAAATATATATTGTATATATTTTATATAATATTATATAAAATAATTATATTATATGAAATATACATATACAATATTATATTAGATAAAATATATATTATTATATATATTTTATATAAATATAAATATTATTTTATATAACAAAATTTTATACAAATATATAATTCATACATAAAATATATATGTATAATTAGCAGAGATACTTGTCAAACGATATAGACATATGATCGAAAGTAAAACTGCGTATAGCTGAGTATAGGGCTATAAATTTATAATATTATATGCCTAGCATAATTTTGTATTACACACCCGAGACTTTCCGTTTCGATACGATTCAGATAATTGAACAAGTCTTCGATATTTCTGACATTTCCCCATTGATGTGTTACGCAGGGCCACACGCTCTCATAGCGATTGACGACTCGTTTCTCATCGTAACCGATTATAAGTCTTTTCCCAGATGACCAAATCGTATTTAGTGTGCTGGTCCATCCGTAGCTCTTCGGTAAATAATATCCAGCAAATTGTTCCTCGAGAAATCCGACGAAATCGTGATGCACTCCCAGATTTTTCCCGAAACCTAGTAACAAGTGTGCAATTAAATAAAAAAGTCTTATATGTTATGAGAAAGAAATTGATAGAGAATTAATGATATATATCTTATTATTATTTTGTACTTTTATTATTGTTATTACTAGTAATAATGACAAATTATATCATAAAGTATGCTTCATAAGAGATACATAATAAATATTGTGCATCTACGTTATGTAATTATTATATAATAAATATTAACATTAATATATTAAAAGATTAGAGTTTAAGTATAAATATTAATATAATTTTGTTATTATGTAAACGAATATTGTTTTTTGATACGAATTACGAATATATTATTAATTATATTTTCTAATCAAAAATATATCGAGCAATTTAAGGAATATTACCAACGGGAAATTCCTGGACGTCGAATATCACGATTTCCTTCGTGTTGTCGAGGAAGGACTTCACTTGGTTCACGACGTTTTGCATAGGAACAGATTTGAATACTCCATGATTGGCCCACCATATCGAATTCGTGTTAGGATAATGTCCCACTCTGATGTCCAGATATCGAACCCCGTAGATCAATTGCGCGAGCACGTCCACATCCTGAAGTTTAATTATCCTAACGATTACCAGCAACGGTTATTCTATATTTAATTTTTATTTCTGATTTCAGTGTGTTTCCTAGATCCTCGGCCATACTGAATTACTACAGCGGAAGCGAGAAATTAGCATGAATTTTTTTGAGCTTCGAGCTACGAGAAATAAATTAGTTTTCCCATCACTCGCGCATATTTCATTTAATTAAATATATCTAATTGTAAATCAATTTTCGCTGGAACGTGAAATATACACAGAGAAAATTTATCCTGAAAATTATGATAATCGTGGGATAATGTTGGAAGAATTTGATAAAAATTTTTCTGATTAATGTTTACTACAATAAAAATATTAATATCTACAACAATAAGATATAAAATATGTTCAATTAAGTTTACTATGTACATATTAATATTTTTTATTGCGGTAAATATCCACTCAGAGCAACTCATAAAATTTTTCCAATACCATATCGATTTTCAGGGTAAATTCTAAGAGAAAATTCTCTCCGAGTACATAAATTGAGTTACAATTTCATTAATGTAGGATTTATTAATATAAATGTATTGACTAACATAAAAAAAAGTTTTATAAAACGCGAGTGTGTGTGGGTGATACATAAAATAACTAATTTATTTTGCCCTATCGCGCAAAAAAAGAATTCACGTAATTTTTTGCTTTATAATTCGATATGCAATGAGGAAACAGGAACCTTACTGTTTAAGCTAATAACGTTCAGAGCTTTTCGTTAATTATTCGAATGAGAAAATCCCACATTTAGGAAAACAATTCCGATAGACTCGATTTTTATATGCATCGTTCAATCTCTCTTCGTGTATTGTTTATATTACAAAAGAAACAAATAATAATTTGTTAATTAATATATAATCCTTGCCTCTTTCTGGCGACAATCTATTGATTCGATTGATTATTATTATAATTATTACAATAATATATAATTTATTATTATTCGAAATTAGAGGTATTTTTGGATTTAAATTGAGGCGAAATCTGCTTCGAATTCATAAGAGGATTTGTCACGAAAAATTAATGATACAAATATTTTAATGACTTTCTCTCTCGGTGCAGTTGTAAGGAGATGTTTGCATATTTATCTAAAATTTTCCAAGCAATTTACCTGGGTTATTACGAATCTCTCGACGATATTCTCAGAGTTCGCTCGTTCATGTATCGCGTACGATGCAGAATCGTGCGTTCCTGGCAGGAACACCCTGCTCATCGGCAGTGATCCTAGAATGTCCCTCCTCTCTGCCATCCAATGAGGGTATGTTTGCAGACAGTTCGTCTGTTTTATTGTGCCGTTTCTTAGCCAGGCGACATGGTACTCTAATAAAGCGAGGTTCGAGCAAATAGCTTAGATATGTGTCCTATTAAAAAAAAAAATCTCTCGCCAGAGCACACAGAAAAATATCATCCTATTGCTAAGAAAAATAATGATTTATTTGACTTTCCTTATTTCAAGTAACAATTAGCTTTAACAAAGAATATTTTCTTCTTAATACACTTAAAATAAACTCGCATCACAAATAGAAATACTCATTATCATATATTCGAAAAAAGAAATTATTTTCTTTTCAAGAATATTATAGAATTTTATCAAAGAAAAATCAGATTTGGTTAATTTAATATTTCTCATTAAAATCTTAAACTTATTAACATCAAGAACACATTTAGAATAAATTCGATGCTTATGACGAACTTATTATATATTTGCTTGATACATGAATTTATGAAATACTTGTGAAACAGGTATATATTTACTTGTATATTTTTCTGTGTGAGAGAGAAAAGGCTAGCTAATCTTCGTATTTTTCTCGACAGAATGAAAAAAATGTTTAAATTTTTTAATGACAGAATATTCTCCGATAATTGAATAGTGAACACAAAAGTACAAAAAACAGCTGATATATCACAGAAAAAACAGTATCCTTGAAAGAATGCAAATATGCCTTGATTCAAGTATATTTTATCCTTATAATAGCGCCAAATATAAATAATTTTGAATAAAGGATAATTTGTCCTTAAAACAAAGTGCAAAATATTCTTGATTGAAGCTGAAATTTACTTATAAGTATTGCAAGACAAGTGAGCATCGGATATAAGCGATACTTTCAAATATATAATTCTTAATTCAAATGTGACTAAGTTTGTTTTTACCATATGCGATTTTTAAAACATGAATATATTTTAAGGATAAAATATACTTCACACAAACTTATTTATTATTAAGACAAATAAAAATTTGTGATTACAAAGAGCATTCTGTGCTTAAATCAATCAAATAGCGTTCAAGAATAAAAATATACTTGAATCAAGGATTCCTTTTTTCTGTGATCGTTAGACCCCAGCAAACACCGATATATAATTGTTACATTGCTATAATAAAACGGAATATAACAGGTAATATAACGTGTACGTTACATGTAACATCCATGTTAGTTGTAATTTCCCACTCATAGATGTAACATTTTAATATAACATATATTACATTGTATTTATATTGTAATTATATACCAAATAGCACATTGATGTATTGATAAGTCAGTGCTATCTTGGGATATAATGACAATATAACTACAATGTAATATATGTAATATTAAAAATGTTACATCTATGAGTGGGAAATTAACATCCATGTTAGTTGTAATTTCCCACTCATAGATGTAACATTTTAATGTAACATATATTACATTGTAGTTATATTGTAATTATATACCAAATAGCACATTGATGTATTGATAAGTCAGTGCTATCTTGGGATATAATGACAATATAACTACAATGTAATATATGTAATATTAAAAATGTTACATCTATGAGTGGGAAATTACAACTAACATATACGTTTACATGTAACATGCTTAAGTATATAACATTTATATATTGTGTTTGCTGGGACTATAAAGGGAAGAGATTAGCGAAAGAGCTCCTCCCTCGCGCAGCTTTTACCCGAGATACAGTATCGCTCGATCAGTGATCTATGCCGTAAAATTATGTAATCGCTTACGTACGTAGACATTGTCGAACGAACGTGAGACTCGAGGTGGGAACGAATGCCGCCTGCACTCCGGTCCTCTTGATGCCACTCGGCGCGTTTGGTATCAGGGTATAAATTGGCTCGAGGTCGTTCGTGGGTTCGCTCGGATAGCTGTCGTAAAGAGCTATCGTGTCGCCCGGTCGATACTTGACGTGGTTCCAATAAATCTCGATCTCCCGTATCATTTTCATGGACATTATGGGCGAGATAATCAGGCCGACGTGTGCGCGCTGGAAGTCTGAAAAGCGGAAGTAGCGAGTGTAAAGAAGATATTTCGTATCGCGAAATGGCCCGTTTTACGTTTATGTGTTCACCATTTTTCGTTATATGTTATATTCTATATACCGCAAAATTTTACTACAAATTTTATCATGTCTCATTACAAGTTCAAATTTCACTGCACATTTATTACACATTTTATCAGGTTCGATGGTAAGCCGAAAATTATCATGCTGCGTGTTAAAACGAACATAAACGAGCTGGATTCATAATATTGTGCTGCATTTAAAAATTTTTATCAAATATTTTACATGCTTATCACTTTTTTTTTTTGCATTCTTCTTAAAATACTTGAAGAATGATCACCCTTTAATATATTTCAAAATTATTGAAATTTTGTTATATATTTTAGTAAAATTGATAAAATATGTTTTATCTTATTGTGATAGATATTAATATGTTTTATTGTGGTGAATATTAATCAGAGAAATTTTTATAAAATTTTTCCAGCACTATTTTGTTCCACGATTACCATGAATTTCAAGATAAATTTTAAGAGAAAATTCTCTCTATGTGTCATAAATCCTCGTCGACGATTTAAGCAAATTATTTTGCAAAATTACAATACAGACATTTGCACAATTATGCGAAGAATTACAAGCACGTAGCTAAATTTTAGTTATAATTTAACGGGGTTAATTATATAAATTATATCATATTATAATAATTTAATAGGATTTAACTAGTTTAACTATAATTTAAGTTTAAATTATTTGTAATCATAATTCTCTATAAATGAAAAATATTAGGGACACCTAAAATTGAACTATGAGACCTAATATTTTTTCCCTGAATCTCGAATTCGGTGTCACATCTGTCAATATTCAAAGAAACCTTTTCCTTGCTCGAGATTCATATGTAATCATCTAAGATATCTAAAATTGAGCTACAAATAACTGTGTACATTTTTTCCGCGTGCATTTAATACAAAGAATCAGTGATTCAACATTCGTTGTCAACACAGTCACATGGTATTATTCATCCGTGATTTTATATATTACTCACCGTCCCCAGTTTCCGGAAGGCAGAATCCTCCGGTCGAAACGCAATCGACGATCGTTAACCAGGATAGAAGGGCGGCAACGATTGCGAATGGCCTCATTTTCGTTCGCGAGTTATGCAGGAAATCTCGTTAGTAAGTAAAATCTCTATCCGCCTCTTCGTCGTCGGGACGTCGACATTCCTCTTTGTGCCTCCACAGTCGTTTCAATTCTCTTTTCCACGAAGGCTTGTTCGCTACAATATTATATCGCTGGAAAAAAAAAAAGATGTCGGCCTTCAACTTCGGTCCAGCTCGGTTTCTCGCGCGCAATTCTCGTAAGAGTTAACAATCTTTTGCACGCGCTTCTGTCTTTTGCATAAAGCAGCGTTTATTAATATTTATGATTTGTGATATTTTCAATTTAAAATTCTCGGTCTTGTACGATGAATATATTTAGATAACATTTTGCTTTGTACACACAAACAACACACGCTTGAGAATTTTACTGAAAAATTCAGTGATTTTTTAAATATACAAACTTTATTATTAAATATATTTATCTATTAATTTTATTACGAAGTATATTATGTAATATATAATTTTTATTATTAAATATATATTTATATATTAATTTTATTATTAAATCTATTTATCGACACTTACATCAATAATTTTCACGCTCGTACTTTTTTATTCGACGAAGCCATAAATATTTAGGAACGTTCGCGCATTCTTTAAAATTGGTAGAAAAAATTACCGCGAGTCGCACAAAGTTGCGTATCTCGTGATACATATTTTTTTTTTATCACTTATACAATAATTTCGAATCTGACACTTGCGTTACAATATTACGACACGATGATCGATCGACTGAATGGTCTTCGATTCTTCTCACGGTTCGGCGCACTCGTATCTCTCTCCGTTGATAAATCGTGACTGATCGTCGTACGTCGCGATCAAGTCAAGTTGTGCAAGTTCAAGAACAGTGCGATGACGACAGATTCGAGAGATAGCTGCTCTGAGCGAAAAAAAAAAACAGGGCTGTATAATTTTATCCCTTCATCCCGCGTCGCGTATCTTTTAATTACAATTATCTTATCTCCCGTTCTCTTGTTACAATAATTACGAAGCTGCGCGTTCTTTGTCATCGGTCTGTCAAAGGACAAAAAATGAGGAAGATTTTTTCCCTGTTCGAAGCTTGATGATTTAATTAATTCGCAGAGTCGCAGAAAATAATCGATTAAACGAGCGAGTAAATAATTTATTCGACCATGTGATTGTGGTCCTTTTCAAGTGGAACAAAATGAATTAATAAATTCCCAAAATTATTAATAGCAGTCATAGTATTTAAATAGGAGTTGTAGAAATTAATCGATCGAACTAGGGAGTAAATAATTGATTCAGCTTCACGACGTTTCGACCGTGTGATTTATGGTCCTTTTCAAGTGGAACAAAATGAATTAACAATAATAAGAATATTAAATCGGCTTTTAATATGAAAACACAATATACATCTCCTCCATCTCGGCCAATAGAGCCAAACGCGATGTTATTGCGAGACTTAAGAAATCTGGGAATTTGTATCCTATGGTTGGGATCTCAAAAATTCCTCTTGTTCCTCTTTTAACTTCCCCTGTAAAAAAATAGGCGAGAAAAATATTGGTCCGAAAGTCGGCTGAATCGGGAAACTGAATTAAGTCAAAGTTAACGCATTATTATACAAATTTTGTCAGTAACATTTCTTGAAATTATACAAGTCAATAGAACAAAGCGAAACATTAAGCATCATAACTCATCGAAGAACCGTCAGATTCTAAATTAATTCTAATTAATTCTTCTTAATTAATTAATGATATAAAACTATGAAGTCATCAGATGATAATTAAAAAATGGTAATAATTCACATAGTGAAAATTCAATAAATTTACTTAATTACCAGAATTGGTCGATTGAATTATTACCATTTTTTAATTAATTAAGGCGATCGGTTGAAAAAAAAAAAAAAAAAAAAAAAATAAACGAAATATTTGAAGAATCATTTTCGAGTATGTGGCAAGAAATGATGTAAGGGAAAAAATTCCATGGCACTGTCCCAATTTATTTGACAATCGTGAGAGAATCCGCTTACGTGGAATGTAACACTTACATTGATCGAGATCATTGAATCACCGGGAGGGGAGAAAGAAAATTACGACGATATTTCTTCAGCAATAAGTTGATCACGCGCGGCAGAGAAGATAAAGGATTCCTTATCGAGGATTTATATTACAAGGTCGGGACACGAAGCTCCGAATCGTCTTCGATCATTTTCGAACGCAACATTGTATTTCCGTGGTATTAAATCGTCGACAAAAAAAAAGAGAAATAATAATAATAATAAAAAGAAGAAGAGGAAGAAAAGGACCGACACGCACGCAGATGCGTGAAACTATGCGGGCGATTTGGAAGATCACGCCAAGTTTCGGAGCAAAGGCTCGAGTATCTCTTTCTCAACGAGAATACGCTCTTCTTCCGAGAAGTAGCGCAACATATCGGGGATGGTGAATATTGTAGCGGTGGTATAATTAAAGGCCGCTAACAGCCCCCATCGGGGACGAGAGCCGATATCAAAGGACTTCTCTCTCCAGTCAAAAGGGGAAATTATGAGAGGAAGGGAGGAAAAAAAGATTGGAAAAAAATGTACGATGAAAGGAAACAGAAAGAAAGACGTCAAATAGTTGGTCTTTATATGTATGTGCTTGCGACATTGAGCTGCGATCTTATGTCGTTCTACTTTCTATAACGTTCGTATGTCACTCGCAGCTCTTATTAATAAGGCTCGAAAACAGCTGAGTCATGTTGCGAAAGTAAGCTCGACGTCAATTTAATGTGTAGAGCTTCTTCAAAGTTGAAATTACATAATAAAGAAATGTCTAAACAGAAGGAAGAAAATTATATAATTCACTCGTCTTTATATTTTTTTCTTCGGAAAATTAAAATTATCAAAGTTAAATCACGAATAAATCTTTAATTAATAACAAACAAAATTATTCGCAATATAATTTTAATAATTATAATTTTATACACAGAGAATTTTCTCTTAGAATTTACCCTGAAAATCGTGGGATAATATGATATTGAAAGAATTTTATAAGAGAGTTTCTCTAATTAATATTTACACAATAACAATATTAACATCTACCCTAATAAGATATAAAAAATGTTCGATTAATTTTACCATATATATATATATATATATATTAATATTTTTATTTTTAAATTCTAACAGAAAATTCTCTCCGTGTATATACATAATTTTTTCCGAAAGAAAAAATGTGAAAAAAAGAAATTATATAATTTTGTCTTTAAAATCTATGCATATAAAACATATACATATATACAAATAATAAGAGTTTCTCTAATTAATATTTACACAATAAAAGTATTAACATCTACCCTAATAAGATATAAAATATGTTCGATTAATTTTACCATATACATATTAACATTTTTATTTTTAAATTCTAACAGAAAATTCTCTCCGTGTATATACATAATTTTTTCCAAAAGAAAAAATGTGAAAAAAAGAAATTATATAATTTTGTCTTTAAAATCTATGCATATAAAACATATACATATATACAAATAATATATAAAAAAATGATATTTAACGGTAGAGAACTCATAAATATTCCTGTATTCTTATTAACATGTGACAAGATCTATTACATACATTTCTGTCGAATAAAAATTAAAAATACTTGTTCTCACAAAACGTAATTATTATTCAGCGTTAATGACTCACAAGCTGCAATAACGGTTCGTAGTAACGCGTTAAGAATTATGAGTATTTTTTCAGCGAATCAGTAAATCGCCGGTATGCAAGAACCATTAAGCTAAAAGCGTTAAATAGATCTTGGCACGTAAGTTTAATGCTAATGAGAATATAATACACATAGGAATATTTGCGCGTTCTGTACTTTGTGAATTATGCACAAAAGCGTGTATGTTAAATGCTTAATTTACGAGAATAAGAGATGTGTACGTTTAAACGTCGCGATAGAGAAAAAGAGGGAGAGATAAAAATCAAGAGAATCTTTTACAATCAATAAACAGATTTATTTACACTGAAAAAAAGTGACTAAATTAAGACATATTTGTTCAATACTGCCAAATGAATCATTTATTTGAAACGAATAAATATTTATTTGTTTTGAAAAGGATTTTCTTATATCAAATAAAAACATTGTCAGTTTCAAATAAATTATTTATTTGGCAGTATTGAAATAAATACTTAACTATTTTTTTTTTCAGTGTAGAAGACCTTAACGAGCAAGAATATAAAATACTTACAAAGTTGTTACAACTGGTATCATGAATTAATAATGCAACTATAAATTCAGATATATACATAATAAAATAAAAATACGCGAATATAATCAAGTTAATCATGCGGAAATATAACGAAAAAAAGAAACAATATCTCGGTTACGTACCTGGGCGCTGATTGGCTTCGATGTTTGAAGTCGGGATGAAGAAACACCGGGCAACCTTACGGGAATAATTTTTTCATTCGTACATTGTAGTCGTCCACGTGGAGAGAATAATCCCCGACTCTTTTATTATCAACGACTGTGTTACGTCTCTCTACGATGAGAGAACGTGCGCGTCGAAAATGAAAGCGGAAACGAGGGCGTATATAGCATATACGAACGTTAACTTCGTTTGTGTATCGCGCTTACGTAAAGGAAACGTGTGTACAGAGCGTTATTCATTTCCGCTATCGTGATCATGGTCGGATGATTAAATACTATGCTAAAAAAAAAACGTAGGTATACTGCAGAGGATGTTACAAATACTTTTCAGTCACTAAAACAATAGAAATGATACAATATCAGTTTTAAGCATTACAAATTTTCAATATAATAGAATTATTCCATTTTTATATGATATGCATATATTATAAAAAATAATTATTCTCTTTTATGTCATATAAAAATTGTCATCATTTTTTTTGTTAAAGTATTATAAAAAATAATTATTCTCTTTTATGTCATATAAAAATTGTCATCATTTTTTTCGTTAAAGTATTATAAAAATAATTATTCTCTTTTATGTCATATAAAAATTGTCATCATTTTTTTCGTTAAAGTATTATTTGAGATCAGTACTAAAAAAGATGATAAAATCATTAACAGAGAACGTATTAATTTTAATAATAAAAAATGTACTGCAGAGAATGTTGCAAATACTTTTCAGCCACTAAAACAATAGAAATGATACAATATCAGTTTTAAACATTACAAATTTTTAATATAATAGAATTACTTAATTTTTATATGATATGCAAATATTATAAAAAATAATTATTCTCTTTTATGTCATATAAAATTTAATTTTTAATTGTCATAATTTTTTTCGCGTTAAAGTATTATTTGAGATCAATACTGAAAAAGACGATAAAATCATTAGCAGAAAACATATTAATTTTATTAATTAAAATCATAAATAATAATTAAATTTAAATAATTTTAATTAATTTTTGATTTATGATTTTAATTAAATTTTGAGTGATTTTCATGAATATAATGAAAGTCATTAAAAAATATAATCAATTATATAAAACATATAGTTTCTCTTCTTCAGTTCTCGGAAAGTACAATTATACGGTAATAAATATCGATGTTTTGCACGACGTTCCTTGGCAAGGAGAGTGGAAGAAGGTGAGAAAATAAAGAGAGAATGTACATGTAAACGTTCTTCGGGTTTTTTCTCATCTTCCTTTATTTTACAAAACTGAAAAAAAGAAAACTTCTGCGAGAGTAACAAACTTTTGGCTTATGTGACTAGTTGTAATACTTAGGCGGCAATACTAAATTAGTGCAGTGTAAGTATGTACATTTGTGTTTACAATGTCTCGAGAGCGCAAGAAATCCCGCGGATATTTGTTTGCGCAGAACAATCGTAACTTTTTTTTTATCCTAAAGTTCAAAACTCGCCTTCTTCTTTT